TTTCCTTGGAGTTGGTCTTGCCATACTATTTACTAAGTTCTGGCCAATGGAATGTGAGTAGGAGTAAATTTCCATTTTCTGGACCTCATGTGGGGGATCTTCTATGACCTTTTTTAATGGGAAAAGTCCTCAGGAAGAAATAGAGTTATATTTTGAAGATTGTGGAACCACAGTATGGAAGTTACCTGAGTCTGAACCACTTCTTGGAGAAGATATCCTCAGGCAGAAACATTTAACTTGATTTTCACTGAGTTTTGAGCTACTGAGATTTTTGGACTTGTCTGTTACAGTGGCTAGCTAACTTCACTAGTATGTTCATAGTTTTAAGATTTACATTTTTTATATAATTGATAAAATAACATTTTCATTTTTGGAATGAGATAAGCAGCCACCCATTTTTTTTTTTTTACCCTAAAAATTGGATAGCCAATTTTGGGGAATAATTTGTGTTTTCTCTATCCGTATAAAATGCTATCATGATCATGTATTTGATTGTACTCTGCACAATCACCAATTTCAACTATTTTTGGTCTCTGAAAACAGCAGTTTCACCTGAATCAACTTAATACTAAATTCTCTTACACATATTAGAAAATTTATGGAATTTCTATTCTCACTCATTAGTCTATTTATCATTAGCATATTATTGTAATTATTCTAACAACAGTATATTTACATATCAGGTAGGACAATATAAACTTTGAAATTAATTGATAGTGTCTTATAAAAAATCTTGTTGAGATTTTGAGGAAAATTGCACAAAATTTGTATTGATTAATTGTATTGAGAATCAACACCTCTATAAAGTGGAGATTTCTCCTTTGTGACATAAACAGGCAAGATAAAACTTGTACACAAATAACTTCACTGCTTACTTAAAGAAGTGTAAAACAGGCTACATAATATGCAGTATTTTGTGGAAAAGGGGAATGAAATGAAAATATTCCTATCTGTTTCTAAATGCAAGGGAAGACTCTAGAAGGGATTACCTGTTGGAGTGAAGATGAGAACGAGGGTGAACATGACATTTTTCACTATGTTCCTTTACATCTTTTTTGTCTTTTGTGCCATGTGAATATATTGCCTTTGAAAAATTAAGTAAGATTCGCGAGGTACACCAAAAAGCATGTGTTAAAGGGCCTGCCATGTAAAAAACAATGAAGGTAATGAATTATATGTCATCTAAAAGCTATTCTCTCTATTAGTTGGTTCAGTAAAGAGATGAAAGTCATTTTGGATTGGTACGCATTCAGGGGAACTGTCTTTTTAGATAAGGAAGGCAGCAGCAGCAGCGGTAGCAGCAGCAGAGACAGACGCACTTGTTACTTCCATTTTACTCAGAGGTTTTTCACAGATAGGCAGTTAATTCTTTTCAGGCTACATTAAATTACTTTGCCTGTTTTAAGGCAAAGTGTTTCAGCCTTGTTCTCATAGTCCAGGTTGGATCAGTTACTATTTCTTAATAATTTCTCTGGCTCCATAGAACTAACAAGTGACCCTCCCACAGCTCTCTTCCTCACTAAAATAATTAAATTTGTTACCACATGTAGAATGTAGAATAGCAAATGTGGAACAGTCTGAGTTACCTTGGCATTCATTAATGTTAACTTTTTTTCCCTTGTAACTGGAGGAGTCACTGTCTTTTAAGTTAATATTGTGAACAGAATTGGCAAGGACTTTGCTTATTGCACGTTAAAAAAAAAAAAAACAGCTTCACCATCATCTTAGAAAAAAGCATCCTTATCAAAAATTTTATTGATTTTGAAACGTACCAAGAGAATTTACGTAAAGTCAGCCACTAACATCTAGTGATTTACATCGCAAGATTAACTTTTCAATTGAAGGTACACAATGCAGATTCAGTGATAACTGTGGAAGTTTTCTGTCAGGTGCAGCCACCCAAATGTGTACATTATCATTTCTTGGCATCCTTTTTACGTAAAGATGTAGAAAATGACATATAGCATGAAGGAGTAGTTCAGATTGGGGAAGATAGATGAAAGTAGTTCTAATAGTACAGTCAGCTTTCAGCTGGGTAAAAAGGCCCCATAAGTGGTCTGGTTATTAACTGATCCTCACCGCCGCCTGGTCACGATGCGTCTAATAAGAGCAAGCACTAATGGCTCAAGGAACTGCGAGTCAAATTATGAAGTTTTATTAAAATGTTTCTCCACTTGTCTTCAATTATTTAGATCCAATCTAATTTTCCTTCAAAATTAATGGCTGGGGCTCAAACTAATTTATGCGCCTGAGCATTTAAAAATAGATGTCCTCTTTACATGCATGTAACACTGCTGAGAAAGAGCACGGTATGTTTCCACAGCACTCACTGGGAAATACAGCCATTTTTTCAAACGTGATAAAATAATGTGCAATGGAAAGAACAGAGATGGAGCTTTGTTCTCGATTTAAAGAGTGATTAAATTACCTTTTTTTCCTACTTTCCTACCCACTTTCCCTCCAGCAGCTGCAGCAAGCTCCCTTTCCCCTTAGCATTTGGACACAAATGAAGATGCAAGTCAAAATCTAAGAGGGTGAAGCACTAAGGAGAGTAATAACATACGTTCTGTTTCATGACTAACTATCGTAGAATTGTCCCTGAACCAGGATATTGGCCATTCAAGCAGTAACCCTTCTGGGATCTGGACCTCTGGTACTTATGTTTCTTGAATGTACCATCCCTGGACATCACTGTTCATTCTTCATGAGCTAGGCACAGCTAATACAAAAGGAGGCAGGGTGAATAGCTTGCTGCTCCCAGAGCTGGGGTACCGAGGATTGGAGCCAACATCGGTCCTAAGTGCCATTGAGACTTCACCTTCTCCTTCTTCTATTGTTCCTCTTTGCTGTGCATTTGATCTTGTCCTCTGTCTTTGTTTTCCCAAGCAAAATCTACTTTCTTTTAAGGTCTAAGTTGCATATCATCTTATCTGGAATGAAAATCTAAACAACTGCATTTTAGTAGAATCAGCACATATTGATTTAATAATTTATCTGTGGGAATGACCCAATTTAAAGTAGTTATGGGTATTTTATATTCTGTGACATTTTCTTCAAGGAGTAGGTATTGGCCTCATTTGAAGGGACAGTATAAACATTTCAGTTCCCAAATGTTGGCACTGCTATCTCATATAGTTATTTCAGACCTAGACCACTGAATAATTTGAAAATGTTTGGCACTGGAATGTGCATTATGTTTTTCCCTCAGAAGCTTATTTTACCAATTGCCATGGATTTAGACACGTATGAAGATAAATATTTCTTAGAGTATATAATAAACTGCTTCTGGGGAGAGGCAATCTAGAAATAGCTGGAAATGGGAAGAAGCCAAGTGGAAAGGCAAACTTTTGAGAAACTGGAGACTCAGCCTTTAGTCACTTATTTTTTCTACCTGGTCATTGTTCAAAAAAGATTTTGAGGAACAACAATAACTGCGACTCCAAACTGGAGGCCTTGTGCCTTTTGCTGCCTAATGTAAGATTCTAGTTCTTCATCCAGTGTAGCATTTGCTGTCTGATAGTAACCACAGCGATAGGACACTCCTGAGGGTCCTATCTGGGTCAGATATTATGCTAAATATGCACATATACATATGATGGCTCTATCATTTAAGCCTCAAGTTACCTGGCGTCCTCTGTCTTGAAGGATGATGACGTAGGCTAGATAAATTTAGGGCTAATAAACTTTGTCTTGTCATCTTTTCCTAAATGAGTAACATACCTACATACAAAGTGTTAAGGTGATAAAGGATGCAACAGTGAAGGTCAATCTTTGTGTTACACTTAGCTGCCTATTGTACATTTGAAGGCCCATGTACAGTGTCATGAGCATCAGCAAAAACCACTTTTAAATCCTTCAGAACAAACACATGTTGTGCTTTGAATGAGTAACAGGTTATGGGCCTGCCCAGCAGTGTGTTTGTCTTTTGTCCTTAAAGGGGTCTCTGACTACCTCACCTGCTTGCTTTGTGTCATCCCCTACTTAAAGGCTGCCTCCAGTGATGACTCCCTGAATGTCTTCAATGAGCCATAAGATAGGAAATACAACTTGCAAGGCCTTACACCCCACCCTGCCCCACAGCTTGGCTGTCCAGGTGGCAGCTGTCTCTTCATTATCCTCCCTGTCCAACATCCCAGGCTTACCTGTTACTCCACTCTGGCAATCTTGTGACTGAGAGCTTCATGATGTTTGACCCTGTCTAGGGCCTCTGGCACAATCTCAGTGTATGTGTGCCGTCTTGGAGGGGAATTCCTCAGTGCAAATTCATTACCGACCCCTGTTTACCTGGGGCCTGTTGCCACGCTCTCTGCTCCGTTGTGTCTTTATACAGTCAGAGGGGAAGTTGAATAAACTCTTAGGTTTCAGTGCATAGTGGCTAGTAGGAAGAGGTCCTATAGTGAGACTTTTTTTCAAACCTTAAATGAAATTCACTTTAAACTGATACATAGAAACAAAACTTATATACATTAAGGGGTGAGCATGATATTTTGTTACGTGTATACATGTAAGGTTAGGCATTATAGGTTAAATACATCTTTTTCCTCAAACTCTGATCATTTTTTAATGAAGAAACTTTCAAAATCATTTCTGAAATGTATGGCCATATCTGTTACCAATGGCCATCCCTGTGCCGTGGCACAGAACTGCTTGTTCCTCCCTAACTGCGGCAGGACTCCCATTAGTCAGTCTCCCCGTTCCTGCCTCACTCCTGCCCTCCTGGGTCCCACTGTGCTACCCTCATCTTCTATGAGGGCAACTGTTTAGATTCCTCATATGACTGAAATCGTGCGGCACTTGTCTTTCTGTACTTGATTTATTTCATTTAGCCCAATGATCTCCAGTTCCATCCATATTGCAAGTGACCAGGTTTAATTCTTTTTTAGGACTGAATAGTATCTCATGGTATATATGTACCACATTTTCTGAACTGGTGAAGTTTTGGGTAGTTACTCAACACTCTTAGCGTCAATTATGAGCAGTATTGTTTTTTAATGGGGGAGATGAAGCGACAGTAATGTGAATCTTCCTAGGCATACGCTCCCCCTCCATGTAGACATTACTTTGCAGCAACAATATACAGTATCGATTCATATAAGTTCAAATTGCTACTTCATTAAGAAGGGGCTCAATGCTTGAGTTGAGTTATGTTATTTTAAACTTGTTTTCAGCATAAGACTGGCACACATGATTGCTTTTTAAATGTACTTGTTAAACCATCAAGAATATTGTTGAGTGTATTATTTGGGCAGAGTGCTGTCGTTAAGAAGGAAGGTTGACATTTTTCTCTCTAACCTTGATCTTTATGGTTTAATATTGAGGCTATTAAATGTACACCAAGAAGAACTCTAACAGTAAAATCTTCTGTCAAAGCAACGTAAGAAAACAGCAAATGGGAAGAGAGAGAAAACACTGAGGTCAGATAATACATTCTCTGATGACTGTCTGCTGGTCCTTGAGGTTCTGCCCAGGGTTATTTGAGATTGACGATGCAATATCTGAGACTTTTTAAGCAATCAGCTTCTGAGTTCAGTAAATGTTTCAGCTTCAAATACGGTCTTGATGAGTTATTGCAGACATTTCAATCAAAAGTAAACATTCTAAATTCTCTAAACTCTTTTGGTATTGAAAAAAATAGTTACTTCTTTCAAATATATTGCTTTGATCTCCCCCTCCCCGTGTCCCAAGTCCTAGGACCCTGTAGAAATTTACCCATCCTTTAACAAACGTGTGGGTCCTCTCCCCCATTCCAGCACTGTCTCCTGCACCAGAAGGAGAGGGGCCAAAAGGATACATCTCTGGGGATTTGATGAAAATTTACCTGGGGACACTTTGGCTGAGATTCAAACATCTTAGGAGATTTGTAAACAATAAAGGCACAAATTTTTTTCTTCTTTGATGTATATTATGGATTCTGTTTAAAGATGTTTTCCCTTTCTCTTTTCTAGTAAAATATACAGCAATGGAGCTTATGATGTTTCTGGAGAACTTGTTCACTTTTTGTTGACTACAAGTCTGACACAAAGTAAAGCACTGTTCCAGGCTGAGACTATTGGTGACAAACAGCATGTTATTTGCAATAGAGGAAATATGCTACCTCCCTGCTCCAGTAAGAAGTACATTTATGAGAGCATTTAGAAATAATTTGGTCTTCCGATACATTATCAGGAATTAGTGAAATTGGTTATGGACTTAATTATGCTTTTCTAAAAAATGTTTTTAGTCTGCTCTCAAACATGTTGAAGTGGACCTTTATTATAGTCCCCAAATTGTATGAAAGCGCATTGCCCTCATTGCATAAGGGTCACAGGTGGAATGTAGCGGGGCTGAAATGAAGGGTAATGGAAAAATCCACTACTTGTGTTTGCTACTTAAATGTCATGGCTGGGTAAATGGATTTCTGTACTTCCTAGGATTCGGCTTCTGCTACATTAGTACGGCAGCAATTAGAGAGGAGAGGTTGCTCTGTAAATTGGCTTGGCGAACCATGCAGTTCATCTTTTTATTGTGCAAAACAGGAAAAATTGCTTCTAATCAATCCACTTCAACTCTTAGTCTAAAAATTATTTACCATCCCATCAGCTGAAAGTATGAAAGAAATGTTCTATTTGAATTAACTGAGGGAAGAGAGCCGATTGCGGTGATGGCGACACAATCTTACTATGGAAGCAATAAAGAGACTTCATTATTGTTGAGGTGTCCTCGCCAAATTGATTAATGCTTTTAGGATAATTAATATGCACTTCAAATATAACTGGACTCTTATTAACTAAATAAAAAATGTCCCACTTCATGACTGTAATGCTCAAAAGTGATAGGTTTTTTTCCCCCAAATAGAACACTATTAATTTTGAACTTTATTGTAATCTTTGCATTTGATTTACATGGTTTGATTAATCTCTGCTTTGTAACTGCCTTCAGAGGTAACATCTGGGTTGCTTAAATAAAAGTTTATTAGTATAATTTTATCAGTACTGGGGATGGAACCCAGGGACTTTGCACTGAGCTACATCCCTTTATTTATTTACTTTTTAAATTTTGAGACAGGGCCTCGCTAAATTGTTAACTTGTTCAGGCTGGCCTTGAACCTGCAATTCTCTTGCCTCAGCTCCCAAGAGTGCTAAGATTATAGCGTGTGTCACCATAAGTGGCTTTTTTGTTGTTGTTGTTGTTTTTTTTTTTTTGAAAGTATAGATTAACAGAACTGAGGTGAGGTATTGTGAAACTTTTGCTAATTTCCATGTTTTGCTTATTGGCAGAGGCATTGACTTGAAAAGCAAATGAATGAATTGTACTTCTAGTGTAATAATGAGCCTGAGATAGTGCAAATTACAAGAGCAGACTCCTGCAAGCTGTGTTTTAACACAATCGGCTTCGTGAAGGCAAACACCTTGGACAGACAGCAGGGCTGAGGGGAAGAAGAGCCACATCTGAGCAGAGGCTGGTGGGAGACAAGGTTTCTGAGATCTGGCATTCTGTGCTGGGATTCAGGGCTTTGTAGCTAGGAAATCTTGGCTTCACTTTAGGAAAAGAAACTTCCCTTGCAGCTCCAAATCAGGCAGCTTTTGGCTTCTAAAAAACTAAGTTTTCCTATGCCACAGAAGCCCACATTTCTGAACAAAAAAGGAAAGATGAATGAAGAGTTTGTTGAAACCAAATTTTTTGGGAGGTCAAGTTCTATCTAAGTCTTCTCATTGCCTAAATCCAAATCACACACACACAAAAGGCTCTGCCTCTTTTATTTAGTTGAATGTTGATTACACAGCAGTGGGGTATTAAGCAATATCTGCAGACAATGTCATATCTTCTTTGGGGTAGAGATTTAGAAGCCCTTTAGCTTTTGTTAAAAAAAAGATAGAACTCCATTGGACAGGCTGTTTCCAGATTCTCCTGTCAGAACAGGGGCTACTTAGGTGCTGGCTTCCATCTATCTACATAAAGGGGCAGGCAGCTGTCTTCCCTTTGATTTCTGTCTGCTCTCCATCACTGAGCCCAGGTTGCCGCTCATTACCAGGACCGCATGTGTTATTAACACGCATAAAGCTTCCTACTTCTTCCAAGTAAAGATGGTTCGCTGAGGTGGACTTAGTGCCTGTGGTGTGTATGAGACTGCCTGAACCACAGCATCCTACTGCATTAGGTCTCTACTCTAGAAAGGTCTCATTAGAAAAATTTAAGGGCTAGTATTCAGGAAGAGGAGAGGAAGGAAGGACCAGGCAAGGGTGCAGTGCTCTAGTACAGACTTCAAACTGTAGGGTAACCTCACCCTGCTGATGGGGACAGAGGACAGAGGCTTTGAAATGGCAGTTTTGCTGCCTGCTGCCTGGACATGAATGCTGGCGTCCAGGCTAGCCCTGTGTCTCAAGGGTCGTTCATATCTCATAACCTTTCAGAGTCTTTGTTTCCAGGCTGCATAGTACGAGAATGCTGGCTTCCTCAGGTCCCTTCCAGGACTAGCACTGAAATAATCATGCACACGCCCTCCCAACCCACTTACCAAGCACATTCCACAAAATGGGGATGTAGATAATCCGGAATGAAAAGAAGACCCCAATCTATGTGGAACCTGAGAACATATATTTTCTTTAACATTCTCTTTTAAACCTGAGTACATATAGATAGAATTCAAATTTCACTTGCATTCAAGTCATGTCTGCAAAAGACTGTGGTTGGGTATCACTAAACTTATCAAACTTAAGCATCCCCCAGGGCAAGTGTATCTGCACATGCTTATAAACAAAATCACTTTCCCACCTGAGGAAATTATTTATTCTCATAGCTTTGCTCAACTGTTTTGTTTGCTGAAAAGTCAGGGTTACGGAAGGTTTCGTGAGAATATGCACAAAATGTAAAGCAAAACTTCTGCGCCTTTCGGCTTCTAAAAAGAGCAGCTAACTTCCATTCGCGTCTGTAGGATCCTTCCTTCCTCCCTCCCTCCCTCCACCCTCTCCCGCCCCAGTTTTATCTCTGGTAGCAAATGCTTAGGCGCCTTGGCGAGGTCAGATTTTCGGTGCCGAACACTGAAAAAAATGGCACAGTATTTGCCTTGGGCATTAGCTCCTCCACCTGCCCACGGCTGACTTTATTCTGTATTTCTGTTGGGTTAATAAAAACATAAGTAGTTGCATTTCTTTTCCTGCGCTCGCCCCGCGGGACGGAGCGAGGCGGCTCGGAGGTGCGGGCGGGCGGAAGCGTTTGCGGGTTTCGCCCCGAGTCGGGTCGAGCCGGGCCCGGCTC